TTGTCTTGGATTAATTCATAAACCGATTTAAGTGAGTATTCAGGTTCAACAGTCTTTGTTAGTAAATCTTCTTCAGGTTCAAAAAAGTCTTTTATTGATATCAGTATTATTCTTGGAATGTTCCTCAATTGAGTATTCCTCTCCTGACATTTCGCTTGTCTGAGTATTTTCTTCTATATCTCTTGTAATCTCTCTACGTGGTCTCCCTCGTTCTCATTTTTGCATAACTGCTTGACTTGGTATTGGAGGAGATCGAAAAAAAAATCCGGGATTTAACTCAATGCCATCAATCATTAGTATAATAAAAATTATTATTCGAGTTAATAAAACATTTAAACTACTTATTTCAGTTCTAAACTTATTATTTTGTTGTAAAAATTCCATGTTTAACGTCACCACAACAGCTCAGCAAAAAAGTCACCAATACCTCCGCAGGCTAAACACGCCCCCTTATTTTCTATATATTTCAAGAAATCTGTGACGTATAAATTATATTAAAAGAATTTTATTAAAGTGTTGATAGAAAGCATTAAATATGCTGTAAATTAAAGTGTTCTACAGTAGACCCCTATAACGCTTAGATACGTTCCACTTTATAAGAATTTTACGTTGTAGGAATCCTTAAATACATGAGCCAATCACAGCTCGACACGTGTGAAGTTTACGGACTACGGCTGTTTGAAAAGTTTTCTTCTATAAAATTAACCGATTCGAGTCGACTAATTCGACTCATCATTTCCAAAACACGTATAATTTTTTGGGAATAATCCGTATAAACTATTCTATAAACATAAAATTGTAGGACTACTTACCGAGTGTGCACCGTTCGACTACGCCGTTGCTTACGCTTGTTTTCGTCGCGGAGCGGCGCACCAAACGGCGGCCGCGTTTTCTGATAAATTATTTTTCTGCGAAAAATTCGTTGACCTTTGGAGACATCATTAATAAAAATAATTTTTATGGCCGTTGAATAAGAAATGTTTCTTTCACAAGTAATGTATAAAATTAGTGCTGTATTAGATTTACGGTACCTAATTTACATACTGTACAGACGATAGTAAACTCAACTTACTGGCTTAAACTTTCCGTAGCGTGGCGCTGGATGGCGGAAAGTATTGATAGTTCGGCTGCTCATCCACTATTGGTCCAGATTCGACCAATCTTGTCGCGACACTAGTCAGCGACGACGTTTTACGGGTCCCTTTATACGAATACTGCCGCAATTTTTTCGCTACGTTATAGGAATTTCCGTTATAGGAACCCACGTTATAGGGGGGTCGACTGTATTTTATTAACGTTGTTGATGGAATGCCTGAAAATTCACGTAAAATGTAGTTGTTGTAATGTAGGATGTAATTGTAGTTGTATGTAGTTGTGTAAATATAGGGATCTGAATGGTCACGTAAAATGTAGATGTTGACCATTCAGATCCCTGTGAGTAATGATGTATTTACAACATCTCTGACGTCTCTGCTTTGCTGCTCGAGGCTGAAATGGAAAAACCACATGAGTTGCCTAGCTGCCAATTTGACACCTCTCCTGATAATTGCATTGCTGTTAGTAATGTGAATTGACACTCCAAATTGCGAAAAGTTTGTCATTATTTTTTATCCCGTTTCTCTTTTCTTTCATGATTTTACGTGCAAAACACAAAATTCACACTGAACAAAAAAATGCGATTACGGTTACTTGATTTTTTTTTCTGTAAGTATGACTTCAGCTTAACTGTTTATAAAACACACGATGTAACAAAACCAGTGATAACCCGAAAGATCTGATACAAAAACTTTTGTCAAATATGCGTAGATCAATCTTTTTCAAATTATCATCCATTTATTAAAAATAAATTGAGAACAATACAGGGGAAAATAGTAATAAAAGAAAAAGCGTGTCTTTCAAATTAAATAAGTTAAAAATTGCATCCTAGCATAGTGAATACATATTTTTTGTTTTCATACGAAAAATTCACTAAACAAGTTTAAACAAAAGTCGCCCGGCTATGATGTGATCATTTTATAAAAGTTAAAAGAAAAAGGGATAGGTCACAAATAACTTATTCTCTATTTCAGTTTACTCACTTAAAATTATCGCGAAAAATACACTGGCTAGCATTTCAATGGCAGTAGTTTGAGACCTAGCAAGTGCGATTGGGAGCGCTGTCTTGTAAAACGGGCCAAATTTTAAATGAGGTATCGAAAGCTTTTATTGGGTAAACCTGGCCGAATGTTGAACAAACAAATGGTACCAATTACTTTGAAAAAAAAAAAAAACAATGCAACTAGGGATGCCAACTTCACCTCAGTTGAAGTGGTTGGTCTACGCCAGCGTGATTCATCTTTGCGTGTTCTGTCTTCCTCGAAATTCTTGTCTAACTCGAATACTCTTGTTATTGATAGACTATCGTCATCGAAGGCTTTTTGCCATATTTGCAACGTTTCTACTATTATGTTATATGTTGTATAATTATACTATACAATTATATATATATCTATAATTCTTGCCGTATTTTTCAATTTTATATGTTTGAAATTTAAATACTAATTGTACAAATTTCTATTAATTGTTTTTACGTTCTGAACATGCATTGAATCCGCGATCGATTTCGGTAATGATAACGTTGTAAAACATTTATCTTTAAGTAGGAATGTCTTTGTTGATTGTTACATTTTAGACTGAATATGTTTATTTCATATGGTATAAAAGCTACGACAAAAATCTTCAAATCTATCAGGTGATTATTAATTGTAATAACTTCTATAGAAAAATTAAATAATGTAAAACACTGTACAGTATATCACTATCAAAACAATTTTTTTTTGTTTTGTTCTTTATTATATATAACAGAAAAAAAATTATGGGGATCGATCAGAAAATGACCCCAAGATTTATGCATTTTAAGACTCTGGATCTTGAAACGTCGAAAAATTCAAAAATATTCGTCATTTTTCTACTATGTATAGATATGTGTAGGGTGAGGGAGGGGCACGACTTTGTTTATCTTCATTGAAGCTTAATAACTTCTGTTTTATGTGTCGATAATTTTTAATATTCAAAGAGATTCGAATATTAGTGAAACTGAAGCTATTAATTTTGATTGTTAAAAATCGAAAGGATGAGAAGATAACGACGGTTCGTATATCTTATCTCGAGTAGGGTCGGATTTAATGACGATTTTACACGTTATTAGCACTCACGATTTTTTAAATTCATCTGTACTCTCAAAATTCATTTGTGTGCCATTTTATAACAATTAAAAAATATATGTAAATTTTAATTTTAAAATATCATAATAAATGACGCTACACACGCAATTTTAAATGTTGCCAAGAAAGCAAAGGCACACGTTGCTGAAATTTTTGAAATTGTTAGCAAAATAGAAATCATTCAGTCTAAATATTACTTATAAATTTTCTTCAATATAAAAATGCATAATACGAGACTTTCTTTGACATTAAATGGTGCATCAGTGTTATATTTTAGGAATAAGAATAACAATGCAAATTAGCAAGATATCACCGACATTATTTACAATAAATTTTGGCTTAATATTGTGTAATTCATTTACAGTGTTGGTTTTGCGTCAGTAGTGATAAAAATATACTTTTTAATTCCACAGAATAAAAAATTATCAATTATATTATGCCTTGATATTTCTTTTTATTTTAATACTACTTTTAACTTATATCTTTTCGCTAAATTAAACTATTTAATAATTTTCACTTGCGATTGTTTCCCTCATATAATTGAAAAAAAAAATTATTCGTATTAATCCACTGTATTTACTTTGAATTCAATTATAAGTTGTACGAAATTACTATCAAACTGTACCGATGAATTAAACAATGTTTTATAAGATAATTAAATATTAATTAATTCCTAAAAAATGCTTCGTTTTATAAACCTGTATGAAAACTAGAATCAGAAAAAAGAAACCCAGGCATAAACCACGTTGCACTTTACGTGTATGTTAAGACATACATATCACTCAAATTGATTTCAGCACTATATCATTTCGAAATTATCCATCTATTCAAAAAATATTAATTGATAAAACTATGTTTGTTTTATTGCTGTTCGACAACGTGACGCGTGGGCGATCTGCCTGTAAGGAAATGTCTACTGGGAGGTCTTTTATAAAAAATTCGCCCCTATTTAAGTGTTACTAATGAGAAGAAAATCCGGGAAACTCCGCCTGATCAGCCCGTTGACCAGACATTAAATAAAAGTATATTACGTTACTCACACGATTTACATCAATTATTTAAAAAAAAAAAGTTTACTTACATCATTAGATTATTTAACACAGATAGAAATTAAAATTACGCAATTCAACTAAATATATAATAAAAGTTTTATATAATGAACAATATAAAATACAGTATAATTAAAGTAGATCCTCAACATCTTTTAAATCCATGCTTTCAATTCAGTGTACTTTGAATGCTTTGAATGAGTTCAATGGTATTTAATTCAGTTTATTTTGTAATTATGTATAATATATATGTCACATATTTACAAAATGACTTATGAAATTCAATGCTACTCTCTCAGTGTTTACTTTCAGCATACGCTATACAAATTATGGAAAAAATAATAATTTTATCTATTTTTTTTTTACTCTTCTTACGCTAACATACATGCACAATTGCACAATCATGCAGAAGAATTGCTCAGTCCGACATTATTGTAAGACATTGTTATAGGACATTGTTGTTTCTGACTCAAAATTTACAAATTGAATTTTAATATTTAAATGAAACTTTAGTTAAAATCAAAAATGGTAAGTGAAACTATCACTTTGTTTTCTAAAAATTGTTTATGTTTGATGAACACTTATTTAATTGCGAAAAAATTCGTAATTCTAATGCCACATCGTAAAAATACATAAACTATATTTTTCTAATATATTTTTATATAACTAGAAAATATTTATGATAATAATTAAAAAAAAAACTATCAATTTTTAATAATTATATTACGAATATTTTATTTTTTAAAAGGATAAGAAACATCAATGTAGTGAATGTGGGAAAACATTTTCTAAAAAATGTCTCTTAGACATTCATATCAGAATTCACACTGGTGAGAAAACGTTTCTTTGCGAAATTTGCGGAAAAACTTTTTCTCAGTATGGAACTTTATTTAGACACAGAAAAATACATTTTCGAGAATTCGAATGCAACTATGATGGTTGCGATTTCAGTACAGACCATTATTTCAAATTGCTAAGACACGTGAATCGAGAACATTTACAAGCAAAGTCTTCTCAAGTAATTATGTTTACTTTTTCATATTCATCTAAATAAAATTTATAAAAATATATTAATCATAATCATACGATAGACTATATAAAAATTTTAATTAATTGTATATTTAATAAAAATGAGGCAGTGATAATTAACAGTGTAAGAAAAACATCGAAAAATATACTTACTATAATTTTTAAAGTTTAAAATATTTTCATCGTTACTGATATGTTATTTCAAACTATAATTCAATATCTAAAATTAATTCATTCAAATCGGTTAAATTTTCACTAAGAAGAAGTCTGATAAAAAATATACAACAGGAAGTACGATAAAGATAAATTTATATATTGTTATTTATATACGTAAATAAAAAAAGCGTAAAAAAAGAAATAATGCAACATTCCAAATACAGTATCTTTAAAACATTACCTGACAGGAACTTGCACATTATTCATGAAGCGCCAGGTAGCTAATTTTTGTTTAAGTGAATAAACATTTTATAAATTGATGTGCTATTGCATCTATTGCCATTAACAAAAGAAAAACAATTTTAATAAGTAATTAAAAAGATTTCTCTGAAATTTAATTTTATTAGATTAAAAAAAAATGAAATATATTTCTGTAAGCTTTGTACAAAATTTTCTTAATTTCAACTATAGAATGAATTCGCCGTATTGAATCACAGGTAAAAATTAGGAACTAACTTTAAAAAGTCAGTTTGAAAATGAAGAATATACGTAATGAAAATTTATATGAAATGAAAATTTTGTATGAAACATTAATATTTCAAAATTAAAATGTTTTAGTTAAATATTTAATAAATTTTAAGAAAATTCTATAATTAGAGTTCATCGAAAGAACCGAATGAAAGAAAACATCAATGTGACAAGTGCCCCAAAAAGTTTTTATATAAATCACAATTACAAAGACACGTGAGATCACATACAGGAGAACGACCATTTTTGTGTCAGATCTGCAAAAAGGCTTTCACACAAAAGGCACATTTAAAAGGACATATGGCATTAATGCATTTGAATGAGGAAACTGTATCTTTGTCTCAGGTATTTAAATATGTAGTTTTTTTTATAGATTAACTTATATTGCAATAGATTGTGACAATTTAGAAGTATAAAAATGAGTTAGGTTGGTTTTGGTATTAATATAAAAGTGTTTTCTGTTTTAAATGTTACATTTGAAAACTTTTTAAAATATTGGCCATTTTAATCAAAATAGCATAATACGTTAATCAGTTCAGTAATCAATGATTACTTATTACAAAATTTACTTATGTAATTTTGTGTAAAGAAATTTAAACATGAACTATAATTGATGTAAATATATATAATGTATTCTGTTATAAAGATATTATTTCAAATATATTAATTTTATTTATTACAAAGTAGTTTTTTATTGTAATTTTTTCTGCGATAATGATAAAACATATAGATGTTCGAAAAATATAGATTATTTATATTATTTTTTATAGCACAATAGAATGTTACAGTATTTGACAGTTACATAAAGAGTTAAACACAAAATACATTTATTGTGATATCCCAAAAATATAGATAAGTTTAAACTTTGAGAAATAGTTCATAACATAGATTGATGAAAATTGTTTTAATATGAAATAGAACTGCTATTATATTTAATGAATTCCAAATTGCAATCAGGCAATGATTAAATTTTGTTTGATTTCTAGATTCTTTTCAAACTAGCACTCAATGCTATATTGTTTCAGATCAGGTACCATTGTAAAATTCCTGTTGTTATCATAAATTATCCGAGTAGTATGAGTCACAAGTTCTCAATACGATCAATGTCCGCTGATACATTATCTGTACAGGATATGAACAGCAATGATGACCAGTTCAATTTCTGATGCACTTTCACAATTATTGGAAAAGATAGTGAGGTTTCAGCTGGGCATAACGCCACAAAGGTGGGCGATATGCCCAGCTGAAACCTCACCATCTTTTCAATATATAAAGCTGAGCACATTTCACAAAAATTTCAGGTACAGTACATTGTATGCTGGGAGTTCTTTGCCTATCAGTTTATCGTACTTTGTCCAATGTTTTTTCGGATTCAAAAAAGTCGAATAAATATGATTATTCTTCTCTCGCTGTTTCTCTAATACCTGTGGTCCGTGGACCACTGGTGGTCCCTGAAAGCACCCGAAGTGGTCCGCGAAAGTTATCCCAAAATTATTAAATAAATGACGACGCGTTGATGACAATGCGCAGTACGTCAAGGTTAGAGCCGATAGCGGATTGGGCTGGGGTATGGTGCGCGGTCAGAAAATATGAAACTGGAAGTCACTAGCAATAAATTTGCATTTGAAGATAAAATCAGTGCGTTTATCGCTAAAATCGACCTATGGATCAGCAAAGTCGAAAGAAAGAATTTTTCTGCGTTTGATACATTGAACCCCAATTATTGATTGACAGTGTGCTGAGATTAAAGGACAAATACAAAAGAACATTACATTCCATTTGCAAAGCTTGAAAAATGAATTCAATCGCTATTTTCCTGACTGCAAAGACAAAGGTATTCGGAAACTGATTTGCAATCCTTTCATAATCAACATTTCTGAGGTGCCGAATGAAATACAAGAAAAGTTAATTGAAATGCAACATGATAGTAACTGCAAGGATACATTCTAGACAGGAATTAATCTTAAAGATTTTTGGAGCCAAAAAGCTATTGCTTTCCCTAAAATTCGAGAAATTGCTTTACAGTGCCTAACTTTATTTTCAACCACATATTTATGCGAGCAAGGATTCTCAGTGCTTTTGATAATTAAAAATAAACATCGAAATC